GACAGCGCAAGTGGAGAAAATTAATGCTGAATTGGTTATCATTGAATACCAATCCCATTTGGGTCACGATGTATTGCAAAATTTCGGCTTTGATGCAACCGATCAGAAGGTGCTCAAAGTGGAGGAGATTATCAATGTAATTCCCATATAGTCGATATGTGAATTATCAGCCTTTTTATAATATATTCAATTTAATTTGTTTGCAGCTTTTCATCGCTGAAGAAAACGAAAGCGCCACCGAAGTCGAATTCCGCAAGGCCTTGGAGCTGCTCAGCTATGTGGATCAGCCGTACGATTTGCGACACAAGATCTGGTGTGCGATCATACGTCGCGACAACTGGACGGACTATGATACCAACAATGCGCTCGACTATATACACAAGCTGTTATTCTACAAGGTGATTGAACTGTCGCAGCTGATGGGTCAGGAGTCTGACACCGTTTTGCCGCCCATGGAGGATTTTCTGGACAGCGCAGAACTGGGTGAACTGCCACAGCAAAAATCGTTTCAGTATTTACTGAAGCTAGCCTACGAATATGTGGGCGATATGTTTAAACAGACAGAAGACATGGATTTGTAATCAATTTTGGGCATTTGCCAATCTATTAAAACCTAGTTTAAGATACAACATTTTATGTGCAGCAGCTCTTGGCACTGGGCTGGTTGGACAGTTGTTCGCTTTGTTGTTGTGCGGCTCAAACGCTTGCATTATAAAATATTATAAACTAAGTTGCTTTGTCAGTTGCTGCTGCTGCTTCTGCTGCCAGCGAAAGTAACTCAAGTGTGGCAGACGGAGTGGAAGCCCGCCAAGTGTTGGCGCAACTTTAACTGGTGGGGCACGAACTGCTCGCCTTCTGCTGGCAGGCAGCCAGCTCTTCAGTTCTGTTTTGATCATGACGGACGAAACAACGCCGCTGACCGCCAGCAGCTCCGGCTATGTCGCGCTGCCGCCCTATCAGGGACCCACCTATGTGTTTCCTGGCGGCGTCTCCCCACGTGCGCGTCGCTCCAAACTGAAACAGTTCCAGTGCTGCATAGCGGTGACATTTGTGTGAGTGTTGTGAAAGTGGCATTTCCAGGCAATTACATAAGCGAACGACTGAAAGGTCTTATCTTAGTGGAATACTACTATAAATATGGCAAAAATTGAGTTATTTGTTTGTTTTTGAAGGAATATACCGAATTACGAACTTTAAAATCTTTTTAAAGCACAAAAAAAAAATTAAAGATTAGCTCCAGCGGGTGTCTTTAGCAAGTTCAGCATAAGTTGGTTAAGTCCTCCCATATATAACTGATTTCCTTTCAACATATCACATTGACACAATCGGAATGAGAATATACAATCCCATATAGTATTCATATTCTTGATTGAGAATATGAGCTGAGTCCATCTAATCATGTCCGTCCGTCTGTCTGCCTGTCCATTTGCGTGAACTGAACGAATACTGTTCAATATACGACGCAGAACATGTATCTTACCTTTTTTTTCGTTATCTTCTCTCGTTTTTATAAAAATAGCAATAACATAATATCAATCAATGTTGATTTTTAGACATGAATCAAGAATTATTCATTCTAAATGAACCAAACGTGGTATCTAGATTCTCGTATAATATACATAGTTTAATATATTTTCAGATACCAGCCCAAATTTCTCTCTTTATTGAAAAAATACTTATATTCAAATGAATCCTTGCGATTAAGTAGTATAATTGTCATGGTAAGGTGTCCTCGAAGGTTCTTAAGGATCGGACTATAAACACCGAATATTTATGCTCAGGAATGCATTTCCCATAGCATGCGGATAGGGGGAGTTGAATCACTGAATGCTTGTAGCCCTGCCTGCGCTAGATTTCAGAGTATCTTCTAGTCGGTCAGACTAGATTCCTCTTTATTCCGTTTATGTCGAGCTTGTCATTTGACACCCCTGTTGACCCGTTGTCAACTTTTTAACCACAAGTCAATTTCACTTTCCTGCCGCAGCGTAATTGTGTTTGCCGCCTTGGGCCTGGCGCTGTGGCTGAGTGACAGTGCGTACGACGGGAGCAGCAGCGACAGTAGCTCGGATGGGCCCAGCTTCTTCTTTGTTAGAAATGAGTCAGAGTGGGAGAGGCTAGCAGGCACTAAGACGCCCATACCAGACGAGCCGGAGTCCGTTTGGGCGCTGCGCCACGAGACGCTCGAGCCGCAAGCAGGCGCCCAGGCGGTCAGTGCGGGCATCAAGGCGCTGGGCGATCGTGAGATACTGGAGGAAGGTCTGCAGCCGAGTGCCATAAATACGCCCCAGTTCAGACATTACCGTTCGCTGAGCACCAATCCGGAGGCACGTAAGTTGGCGCGACGCGGTTATGTGGAGAACCAGGCCACGCTGGACATAGCACAGAGATTCAACTATAGCAAACAGCCGGGACGCAGCAATATTGGACGCGGTCCGGCTATAGTGCTGCCCGATCCGATGCTGCTCAGTCTGGATTGTGACTTCAATGAGCGCTACAGGCGCAGCACTGGCGTCTGCAACAACAAGAAGCATCCGCGCACCTATGGCGCCTCCATGGTGCCCTATCGCCGCATGGTGGCGCCGGACTATGCCGATGGCATTGCAGCGCCGCGCGCCAGCCATGGTGGGCAGCTGCCGCCGGCGCGTCAAGTCTCGCTAGGCATACATCGCTCCAGCTACGAAACGGATACGAATTTCACGGTCATGCTGGCCGTTTTCGGACAATTCCTGGATCACGATATAACGGCCACCTCCCTGACCACCGCGCAGGAGGGCGAGTCCATTGATTGCTGTGCGCGCAGCACAATGCAACAACAGCATCCGGCCTGCTATCCCGTGCATATTCTTGCGGACGATCCCTACTATAAGCAATATAATTTGACCTGTATGAACTTTGTGCGCTCCGCGCCAGCGCCCACGGGCAGATTTGGACCCCGGCAGCAGTTCAACCAGGCCACGGCCTTCATTGACGGTTCCATGGTGTATGGCAATCTGGAGCAGCGCCAGCGGCAGCTGCGCAGCTACATCAATGGTACACTGCGCATGTTTATCACCGAGGATGGGCGGGAGCTGCTGCCCATCTCCGCCAATCCGGAGGATGGCTGCAATCGGGTGCAGATGACGCGCCAGGGCAGGTACTGCTTCGAATGTGGCGATGATCGGGCCAATGAGAATCTGCTGCTCACCTCGATGCATCTTCTGTGGGCCAGGCAACACAATTATCTGGCACGTGGCCTGCACCAGCTGAATCCCGACTGGACTGATGAGCGTGTGTATCAGGAGGCGCGCAAAATCTTGGGCGCCCAGTTGGCACACATTACCTACAACGAGTTCCTGCCCGTGCTGCTTGGCCGCAATCTGAGCGAGGCCAAGGGTCTGTTGCCTGCCCGCGAGCAGCTCGATGCGCCGGACACCTATGATTCCCTTGTGGATCCCAGCATAGCCAATTGCTTTGCGACAGCTGCGTTTCGTTTTGCCCACACGCTGTTGCCGGGTCTGTTCAATGTGTCCAGGGATAATAGCACGCCCGAGGCCATGGAGCTGCACAAGATGCTCTTCAATCCGTTCTCGCTCTGGGCGCCACATGGCATCGACCACGCCCTGCTGACCGCCTCAAACACGCCTGTATTGCGCGTTGATCGCTTTTTCTCGCTGGAGATCACACAGAAGCTGTTCGAGGGCACTGCCGAGGATCGTATACCCATTTGTGGACTCGATTTGGTTTCGCTAAATATACAGCGCGGCCGAGATCATGGTATACCAGCCTATCCGGTTTTCCGGCGCCATTGCCGCCTGCCCCCAGTTGATACATGGGAGCAAATGGCGCTAGCAGTGGACAACGCCACCTTGGAGTCCATCAGGCAGATATACGAGTAAGTAGTACACCGATTGCTTTGATTGCCAACATCCGTATAACTTGATCCCCCATCCATCCACAGCTCCCCCCAGGATGTGGATGTCTATACGGGTGCGCTCAGCGAACCGCCGCTAGATGGCGCCATATTAGGGCCTCTGCTTAGCTGTTTGGTCTCGGATCAGTTTATGCGCCTCAAGCTTGGTGATTCGCATTGGTATGAGCGCAAAGTGGGACCACAAAAGTTTAGCAAGCGTAAGACATTTCAATATGCTTAAATAAAGTCTAAGTTTATATTGATAACTATTTCTCATCCCCAGCTCAACTGGCTGAAATATATAAGACCAGTCTGGCTGCCATCATATGTCGCAACTCCGATGGTATCCAACGCGTGCGTCAACATCTCATGGAGCGCCACAGAGCGAACGGCAATCGCTATGTGAACTGTGTGGACTTGGAAGGATTTCAGTTCAATTTTCAGCCCTGGTCGGAGGCGAAAGCGGAGCCCCAGCTGCATAGGGCGGGCTTCAGTCAAGCCATGACCTTGGTGCGGCTCTTCACGATAAATAGTACAAATGGAGCGCTCGATCATGGAAACAAAGCATTTGTAACTAACTGAATAATAAATGCTAATTAAAACTATCAAAGTCCAGGAAAGTTCGAATTTTATTCAATTTGCTGCCATACTCATCATGACCTTGTAAAAGATTCCTTATATTCTATATTATTCAACCTATATTCTTTTTTTAAAAATTTAAAATGAACTTGAGTTGGTTAAATGAAGTTCAATCTGGAATTGATGTTTCTTTGGAATCGTGAAAATCTTTAAAATTGATTGGAATCAAAAATGTCAAAAATATCTAAGAATTTTAGTCAAGCTAGACAAACGGACCTGGCTAGACCGACTCGGCTTTTGATGCTGATCAAGAATATATATACTTTATGTGGATGGAGATGCTTCCTTCTGCCTGTTACACACGTTTGTATAAATACATTATACCCATTTTATCCATTTTTAATGGGTCCAGGGTATAAAAAGTATACGAGATTTGGTAAGTTCCTCTTGCACAGGTGAAAACTGGTGGGAAAATATATAGCATAATTTGTAAGAGTTGCAATTCCAATTTAATTGATCTACAATCTCGTATGTAATATTTAATATAAATATGTTATAAATCGTTATTAATTATAATTTAAATGTTACAGTCAATCAATTGGCTTAGCTGTTTGCATCGCAATCGGCTTATCGCTTAGTCACCAGCTGTGCCGAGGGAAGCCGCTGCCAAGTGGAGCACTTAAGCGGCGGCTGATGTAATCCAATCCGTGGGATTGCAGCAACCGTAATCAAGAGTTCCAGTTCCAATTTGTGCGCGCAGATTAGAGCAAACTATTAGCTGGGCAACAGCAAGGTGCCATTGGTAGCCAGGGCGAGTGTGGCAGGCGGTGACAGTGTTGTGGCAAGTACTTCTGTGGGCCGACAGGCTGTGGCATTGTCATGGTAATAGGCCAGACACAGGGATGCCAAGAGGGTCAGCATAAATGTCAGCCAGATGCAGGCAAAACACAGGCGACGCACATTCTGCCACCAGGGATCCAAAGCGAAGGGCAGCAGCTCTTCCAGCGTTAGGCCGTACGAGAAGCTGTCGAAAATATGTGTGAGTGGAAGTAGAGGGTAAGGCATGAATTTATTATTTAATGAAATGCGACAGTAAAGCGTTTACTCAGCAGTTGTGAAAATGGGCTCAAAATCCTTTGGATCCTTGCCTGCTACGACAATGATGTCGTGCGGCTCTTTGCGCTGTCCTCGCTGGTGCCCCGTCGCCAGCAGCGCTGTTCTCTCATCACACGACATCTTTCTCGCTCCCTCCCTCTCTGACTTTGTCTCTGTCTGTGTATGAGGCCGTGGACTGCAAGCACTCCACTGAAGGCGACGGGCTGCTCCGCTGCTGGACAAATGAAACTGGCGTCTGGCTTTGCTTTTGCTTTGTTTCCAACTTAAATTAGCTTTGCGTTGCGTTGCCGGTTTCATTGCATTTAGGTATACACTTGCAGAGGGTATTATGAATTTCCTAAGGATATATGTAACGCACGGAAGAACCTTATAAAATGTGTGCGACCTTATAAGGTCTGATCAATAACTACGCCCGATTATTGTATCATATAGCGTCATGGGCACAATAAGCATAATATATTTTTTTATATAACATTTTCTGTTGCTTAACCCAAAAAAATATTTTTAAAATCAGACTATGTCACATAGCTTTCATAAAAGTCGAACCATATATTCTGAAAAAATTTATTGAAAATAAACTTGTTGTATTGAAACTGATTATTTACAGTGAAAAGCATTTCTCGAATCAAAAACTGAGTTAAATGATGTCCAAAACTAAATACAAATACAATTGGGGCGTGACGTTGATTCAAACCGAGTACCAATTTACCGAGGGCTTGATACTTTGACGAGACTTTGATAGACATATTTCAAATATGACCCTTGCCATTAAATACATGTCTGCAAGGGTAATGAAACGTCGGCGTGCTGGGACAGTTTTTCTTTGCTGCTTTTTATTGTTGTTTGCCTTTTTCTTGAATTTTTTTCAGATTCCTGTAAACAACTTTATCTCGACTGTTGCGTTGTTGTTGTCGTGCTCGTTGTCAGAGTCATCTTCCTCATCTGTGCTCATCTTCCGCCTGCAGCTTTTTGCGCTGATTTCGCTTATCGTAGCGCGCAATTTTCAGATGATATATATTTTTTTTTTGCGAAATTTCGAAATTGGCAGGTCTGCCGTTGATTGCATAACAGCATTTGCCGGGCAATTGTCGCCCAGGTTCTACGGTCAGAGACGCAGCTGCATCGACAGGCCCCACAGATAAGCGACCGCCTTCCTCCCCCCACACACACACACTTATCACAGATAAAGAATACAATGTTCTACTTACAAAGTTGAGTTTAAGACATTTGCTTTTATTTTCATTTGTTTGGGAGGGGCTTAACATGCTTGGAAATACATACACTTAAGTCATATGTACTTAACAATTTCTGTACTCGATTTTGAATAATGCCGTGGAATTTCCTAAGAACTAGCTTTCAATATATGTAGTCAAACATCAATTGTAATATATGTTTATAAAAATGTGCACACATACGAGTATGGATAGTTTTAATTTGTATGTAGCTGCTGCTAACTGGGTTCGCATATTTGGCTAAGGTTCCGCACATGTCGTGGGACTTTTATTTTTATTATTATCATTATTTTTGTCTATAGCATTTTATTTTGTTTTTATTTTTGCATATCATATAGATCGAGAAAACGTTAAATCCTTGAAAATTTATTGTGTATTGTAGAAAAGTTATTCGGTATTTCTTATGTATCTATTATTTGAATGCTTATACTAGACAATATCTGAAGTTAAAGTGCTCTTTATTGATCATAAATCGTATATAGACTAGTATATACTATATAAAAATGTAATGAAAAGTCTAAATCCAAAATACATCGTAACAAACATGAAATGATTAATACTATAAATATATTATTGTATAATACATACATATATATTAGCGATACGAATTGTTTGCTTGGTTTGAAATAAAAGGAAAATTGTTTAAATTTTATTTGAATTTTAAAAAGAAATCAAAGCATATCATAAATAATATAAATATGTTTTGAAAGATCTTTCAAGTTTATATCATGTGCTTATTAAGCCCGTTCTGGCTAACTCTATAGAAATACATACCTAAATTCTATATCGGAAGCACTTTACTCATTTTATTTGCCTTTGCCTTCAAGTTAATCAGTTAATCATTTTATCAGATATATGCCTTATATGTAATTTCTGTCTGATATAGATATACTATATAATTTAAGTGCTGTCTTTTTGCTTTACTTTTGGACTGTTCTATTTCGTACTGTCACATTCTATTTGATTTTCTGTTTGCGAATATCAACCTGATTCTGATACGATCCACACGAATCGCCTGTTAACTGCATTTTTATTTTTAATATACGAAATTCATAGGAATATCTTCCTCTCTCACATAGCCTACTAAATTGATCTCTTTGCCATCAAATTGTAAAATTTGTAAAGTAATCGAAATCAAAAAACCACATCGAATTGAAATAATTGAAAAATTCAATTTAATCTTCAAAGCTTACAGCAAAACATTGATGATACATGCATTAAATACATTTTTCGGCTATTCATAACTTATATGTATTCGATATTTATATTATTTATTTGTATTCATTTTTGGGTATTATATCTAGATTTGGCGCATTTTCCCATAAAGTTGTAGTTTTATAGGTTTTCTGTGTATTTGTATTTGATTATTATGTATTTTATTTTGGTATCCATTCCAAATGTTGTATTAAAAAATAGAATAACATTATACAAAAAATACATTCATTTAACAAACTTTTGGTGTTTTGCCTTAATATCGTTTATCGTTAATCGTTTATCAATCAGTTGCTATTTATCGTTTGATCTATCGTTTCAATAGTAGGTGACTAAGTAAATGAAAGTCTTTCAAGTAAGTAGTAGAGTTATGTAGTGCAGTGTTATTAACACTGATAGTCGTACTAAAAGTGCCGCGTTTTCAATTGGTCGGAGCTTGAGTTGGAGCATTAATTAGTTTATTGTTTTTCATTATTTCTTATTGAGTGTCAATTTAGTTTAATCTACAGAAGCAGTTGTTAAATAGTTTGTTGCCTAAAAGTGCGATTGACTAGAAATAGTTGTTGGTAATAAGTAGCTAGCTCAAGAGCTAAGATTTTATTTATTTATTTATTTGTAGGTATATATGCATTTATATTTAAAGAATAGCACTTACACATGTATTAAATTAACAATGGCTGATTTGTGACAATTAATGGAGAGACAATTCATTATTTATATATATGTATATACTGTGTATGTTAAGTACAGCTATAACAAACAACAACAATCATAATCATAATCATAATAATAATAATGACTTATATTGCATAAAGAACGATTGAAACATACACACAAGCTAGTAAATATCGTTTATCGTTATTTTGTATGCTCTTTCTATGTATGTATGTGTGTATTGTATATATGTGTTTTTGTAATTCTGAATGATCACGTTGCTTGTTTGCTGAGCCCGGGCAGCCTTTCTTGTATTTACAATACTTAAAACAATCTATATAGGTAATATAATAAAACCGTTTCATTAAAATAAGCCACACCTAGAAACTAATTAAACATTAAAATTTTTAATATTAACATAAATTTTACATAATTATCAATATTTAAGTAGCGTTAATACATACATAAATATTTATACATCTATATATAGTAGATTTCATGATTTTTATATAAACCAAAGTTTTCGCTTATGCATTTTGATTATTGTTACGGCTTCGCTACAGCTACTCTAAATTTGTGTGTGGGTGTGTAGGTGTGTGTGTGAGTGTTTGTTGGGGGCTGGGCTGCTTTATATCTGTATGATATCGTACGCTTCCAGTGTGCTGACGACTAGATAGATACACCACAGGGATATCAAAATAGATGCATGTATCCACTTAGAGGTTTTGGGCCCACCCAGCTCGGCGCGTATGGAACTGTTAACGCGTCGATACATCATGACGCCAACGGCGATGACGGCCGAGCCACAGAAGAGCGCCACAGCGAAGCCAATGCTGAGATGAAAAATGAAGTTGAGTTTAATTTAATAAGCAAACTGCATTTAATTCCTGGGACTCACGTGCCCGGCTCCACATTGAACGTTGTGCCATTCGCCATGTGATAGATCGAGGCAATGGACCACGCCAGGCCAATGCCGAGGAACACGTTAACCGCATTGCTGCCCGTCACATTTCCAATGCAATTGTCGGCTGTCTCATCCTGTTTGGCCGCAATGATGCTGGCAAATGTATCTGCAAGTCAAATTTATGATTACCAAAGACTCTAATTTTGTTAAGCTACACTTAATCTTGAGGATAAAAAGTGTTTTATCTTAAGGATAAACAAGTTATCCTCTCCAAAAATATTTCAGACTTAGAAATGCCTAATTTCGCTAAGCTTCACTTTATCTTGGAGATAAAAAGGTGGCAGGCATCTTAACTGATCGAACCAATTTACAGCTAGTTTTAAATGCTGCCTACCTGGTATGCTGGTGCCCAGGGCCACAAAACAAATGGCTGTTACCGAGTCCTTGATGTTAAGCACACAGCCAAAATAGGTGGCTGCATCTCCGATGACGGCCGTGAGAACGCCAATGACGAATATGGAAATAACGAAGGTGACATATCCGCCGCATATGTCTGTGGAATGCAAATGGTTTTATATAATAAATGATTTAATGTAATTTATTAAGAGGCACGCTACCTGTGGGCGGCACAAATGCAAAGAGCACCTTCCAAAATAGGCAAACGAAATGACTAATATAATCAAAGCATTTTGGTACATCCTCCTCCACATCTTCATCGGTATCGAACTCACTCTCATCCGCTGGGGGTACACAAATATTTAATAGAAAACAGTCCATATGGTTGGCTATCGTTTACCTGGCACAACGGTGAGCGCATCTTTGAACTGCTCCTTCCACGAGGATGTGCCCAGCACGGCCGAAACGTTGGCCCGGGCGACAAGCTTGTCCACAGTAGCCTGTGGAAATACAATTGCCATTAAGCATAAGCTTAACTTTACATATTACGTATACGCAGTGTGCGCAACGAAGGGCTGCTTAATGCATATCAAGTATACGCCTCGTGCAGCAGACAACACGCACACACACACAATGAAAATGAAACAAAGCATTTCATTTGAAGATTAGACACAATTAGGTGCTTATTTGCTTTAGGCAGGTGTGTTAGCTGAGCTGTCAGGGGAAACAACTTGACACCTGAGCCACTTTGTGTCGTCGTCGTTGTTGATGTCGTTGTTGTTGCCGTTTTTATACCCTATACCCATTGAAAGCGGGCATAAAAGGGAGTTTTGCAGTTGTGCATATGAATGCAACAGCCAGACGAGACAGAAGAAGGTTTGAATGTTATAACGGCACCTCTAACCTGGATTCA